ATATCATCAAAGACATGGTTCATAAAACGCGCATCTTGAAATCACACGGGTGTCTTATTGTGTCTGATCCACGTTAACCCTCCGATTAACCGGGATCAACAATTTCTTCAAATCACGCGGGTGTCTTATTGTGTCTGATCACCCTGCGATTAACCGGGATCAATAATTTCGTGGTACTGATTAACACTACTACAAAACTAATCTTTCTAGACGTTCAAAACCAATATTTGCACATGGCTGGGCTATTGCCAACAACCAAAGGTAAGAGATAATCGTAGATTTTGACAGGCGGATAACCAACGTCAACAAAAATCGATTTTTGTTAGCGGATCTCTTTTTTTCTTAAGAGAACACAGCAGGAGAGGCCCCGCTGTTAGATTAATTTTATTAATAAAATTTAAAAAATTACAAAGAGATTACAAAGAGATTACAACAGATGGATCCAGTCCCTAACTACATCTTGATCTCGTGCATTGAGCCTAAACAATAAAAGAAGCAAATCTCCCTTAAGAAGTTGCTTCCAAGAAGAGAACAAATGCAATTTATCCTCAAAAATGAAACCATTCCTTTGCTTCCAAATATTCCAAACACCTAAGAGAAATTTCTCCATAAAACATTTTCCTGGATAAAGAGCTTTAGCTGACAGAAGCATGTTCTCCAATGCTAGCGGATCTCTTAAGGTGCCACCAGTGACAGCACCCTTATGTCACCGCCAGCAAAGAGATTTTTGGGAAAAAAGAAATAAAAACATTTTTCACAACAACAAGATTTGGTTCAAATCCACATTTTTTTAAACAACACACAAACATCTACATCAATAGATTAATATCAACAAATAGAAACATCAACATTGTCATCGTCTTTGCCATGTGGAGAGCCATCACAGTCTTCGTCATGTCGAGCTCCATCGGCGAATGGCATGCATGGATCCTTCTTTCCTAACTGTAGTTCTGGGTCACGCCAAGCTGCAGCCCTCACCTTCATGCTCGTTGCCAAGCCATCCACCGTCGAGGCCCGCCACTGCTGTTGTCATCCCGGGGCTACCTCACCATCATCATCCCACTGTTGGCTCAAGGAGTTGCTGGGGGGAGAACGAGCGAAGATTGGCCGCCATTTTGCCGCCCTGCAGCCATCCCACCATCGCAGTTGCTAGGGGAGAGTGGAGAGGAGCGAGTGAGAGAGATGGATGAGAACAGGTGAGGATGAAGACAGCGGGTGAGACAGAGGGATGAGAATGAGTGGAAAGAAGGCTTTACCTTATCGTTTGGGAGGGTGTTACCACCCCCCCTCCCCCCCGGGTGGTAAGGCGGTTATAACCATGTGAAATTCGTGTTCAAAAACAGCGACATGTTTGGCAGAAACATGAAAAAAATGAAAAACACTTATATGCGTGCAGAAATTGGGATAATTAGAAGAATATTTAGGATACTTGCAAACCTAACTTGTGGATGTAAAATACAAAAATTCGGCATGACCTTTTCTATATTATAGACTTTGTAGTATAATAATGCAAGAATTTCTATACTATGGACTTCATAGCATAATAATGCAAGAACTCATAGTACATTCAACCCCATACTGACAGAAAGGAGGAGAGAACAGCCGGAAGATATTTTCTCCACTATTGGGCCCTAATAGGCCGGTTAGACAGTGCCAATGAAGGCCCAATACTTTTTTATTTTTTCCATTTCCTAAACTATTATTGACTTTGCCCTCAAATTTGATTTTATCTTACCCTTTTTCAAAAAAATTATTCACCATGTGTCATTACAAATCAAGAACTACATCCATGATTTTTTTTCATTTTCTTGATATTTTTTGGAATTTTTAAATTTGCTCAAAGTTCACCAAACCCTTACCACTGATAACACTTACCGTATCCCTGCGGTAAGCATGATTACCGGTGGTAAACGAAACCCTGGTGGAAAGTATCTCATGGACTATTTTATAAGGCTTCAATGTTTTACTGGTGGTACTATATATTAAGAGGTGCGTCTATAAAAAATAGGGTCATGTTTACAAGCGGTCCTTTTAAGGATTTTATCAGTGAAAATCAATGTATTTTGCTGACGTTTATTTTTTTTCGTCGGAGAAAAAAAAGAGGTGACGCATGGAAAAATCATTTTGTAGTATGTGGTGATCGATGTGCGTGTTCACCGTTCATCTATTAATCAGGTCCACAGATGTTGAGCTACAACTACCTGGACGTGGCCGTCAGCCCCTACAGCCTACTGGCGTGAGATGCGGAAGCTCCTCGTCATCGAGCTAACGAGCATCCGCCGCGTCCAGTCCTTCGCCTACGCGCGGGCCGCCGAAGTGGCCCGCCTCGTCGACACCCTCGCCGCCTCCCCGGCGGGCGTCCCCGTCGACCTCAGTAGCGCTCTCTACACGTTCTCCGACGGGGTCATCGGCACGGTGGCCTTCGGGAAGGTGTACGGTTCGGCGGCGTGGTCGTCGTGGGAGTGGGGCGCGTCGTTCCAGGAGGCGATGGACGAGACGATGCAGGTGCTCGGCAGCTTCAGCTTCGAGGACTTCTTCCCGTCGTCGGCGCTGGCGCGGTGGGCCGACGCCCTCACCGGTGCGGCGGGGCGGCGGCGGAGGGTCTTCCACCGCATCGACGGTTTCTTCGACGCGGTGATCGACAAGCACCTCGAGCCTGAGAGGCTCAGCGCCGGGGTGCAGGAGGACATGGTCGACGCGATGGTGATGGTGTGGAGGGAGCAGAAAGACGAGGCCTTTGGACTGACGCGCGATCATATCAAGGCAATCTTGCTGGTATGTTTTATTAATTTGTTGAGCAAATTTCATAAGACCACAGGGTGTTGACACACAATACTAAACCACAAGTAACTTTACTATTTCAAAGTTTTATCATAATAAAATTGTAAATCTCAAAAATCACCTAGTAACTTTTTAATACACATTATATAAAAGCATTAGTATTAAAACTAATTGATTAAGTACTTAGAGCATCACCAACAGTGCCCCAATTCCATTCCTATTAATTTTTTTATGGAATTTTAGTTGAAAAAACTGATCCAACAGTATCCTGATCATCTCTCAAAATTTTGCCGCTCCCATCCCCGCGTATGTCGCTCTCCTTTTATAAGGGTGGCTTGATCATCTCCTAAAATTTAGCCGCTCCCATCCCTGCCTATATCACTCTCCTCTTCTAAGGGAGAGGGCTCGCTCCCAAAATTAGTTTCACACTTTTTCTGTCCATCGATCTCCTGGTACGTGGATCTGGCAAATGGGCCACATAAAGGAGCGAGCACTATTAAGGCAGAAGCTCAAGCTCATGTACGGGAGAAACAATTTATGCTGATTTCGGTTGTTAGTTTAGCATGGGCCCACCTTTTACTTTTTGAAATTAATTAAATTTAAGGTTTCTCTTAGAGAGACAAGTTTTTCACTACCTATTTTCAGTTTAATTAGGAAGCCCAGTAACAAAATTTTGATGGTGTATTATTCACATTCCATTGATGATGCTCTTACTAGAGAAGATAGGTGAGATGAAACATACTTAGGCCCTGTTTCTTTCAGCTTGAGATTATTATAATCTAGATTATTCAGAGTAAGTTGAAAGAAACAGACAACTTATTGAAGTAGCTTATTATAATCTGGATCCCAGCTTATTATAATCTGATAAGCTCATTTAGGTGAGTTTTTTTTTCAGATTATTGGGTGAAAAATTACCCACCATGCCACACACTCCCTTTTTAGACTTGCAAACCCAATAATCTAGGCTCTAATAATCTAGAAAAGAAACAACTAACCGTTTATTCTACTACAGATTATAACAATCTAGCTTATAGTAATCTGACTCAATAATCTAGATTATAATAATCTTAAGAATTATAATCTTAAGCTGAAAGAAACAGGGCCTTATATACAGGTAGCAATCCAATAGGGAAAAATGTTCAAAGAAAAGAAAAGTGTTGCTAAAATCAAGTAAAAAAAATATGGCGCCATATATTTTAGAAAACTTAAATAGAAAATAATTCACTTAACCATAAAAAAAATACTACAAAAGCTACGTCATTTTTCCCGACGTAAATGATGGGGGAGACCATCAAAGATAGATGAATATTGCTGACAGTTCAGATCAACGTACGTCAAATTAGTCCCGACGTAAATGCACATTATAGAAATTAATCCTAATGCTTGTCCGTTAGATAATTTTATTTTTCTTTGACAAGCTAGTCCCGAAGGAAATTTCATGACATTGACACGTCAAGAACAATTTTCACGATGGATTTTGACCGTCAGTGGTAATATGGTTTCTAGGAGTGCTTAGATGCACTGGTGGAGAGTTGCTTTTTAGTCCTTGTTCGTAACTCTCATGTAGTCCTGATTTGAAAACCGGGACTATTAATCCGGGACTAAGGATCGTTATCTTTAATCCCGGGTGAAATAACCGGGACTAAAGATCGATCTTTAGTCACGGTTGAACTGGGACTAAAGATCTCTCTCTTTAGTCTCGGTTGGTAACAGGGACTAAAGATCGACAAGGCAGTCTTAGGGCAGTTCCCATTTTCTTTTTATTTTCTCCCAAATCAAGTTGGATGTATATACCCAAATCACACAACAAATCCCCAAATCCCCAAATCTGACTGCCATGCATATACCCAAATCCCCAAATCAATGTAACATCCCAAATCATTCACATCCCAAATACAAATCCTAAATCTTACAAAACATCACAAATCTTAAACAAATTACACACAAATGAAATGCATCACAGATCGATTATACATCTCAGATCTATGCAATGAATCACAAATTGTAATAGAAGAAATTATACATCTCTCAAATCACAAATAAAAAAAGGGGGGAGAACCGGCTGCATGCCACGGCTGCTGCGCGCTGCCCCGCTGGCCGCCACGTCGCGCGCGGCCCCGCCACCCTCTGCCGCGCGGGTCGCGGCCCCGCCGCTCGCTGCCGCCGCCGACGCGGGCCCTCAGATGTGAGGAGGAGAGGGGAGGAGGAGGAAGGGGAGGAGGGGGAGGAGGAGGAAGGGGAGGAGAGGAGATGAAGTAGCCAGATCTGATCTGAGAGATAGGAGGAGAATATGAGGAGGAAGCTGGTCTGAGACTTAACCGATTAGATGTGGAAGAGAAATATTTACTCCCGGTTGGTATTCCCAACCGGACTAAGATCCTCGGCCTCCTGACATGCCTCTGACAGGCCACGAACCGGGACAAAAGATCAAAATTTTTATAACCGGGTCTAAAAACAATCTTTAGTCCCGGTTCTTTTTGGATCTAGGACTATTGTGGAATTTGCTAGACCGACCAAAGATGGTTTCTCCATCAGTGATGGCTACAATATTTGTATAATTAATTAAAAGAACCCATGTATTTCAGCTAAGTCTAGAACTCATGTATAGTAGATCAAAGTAAAATTGATTAAGGGTGTAGCAGTATGAAACTTTAGGTGTGCCCATTAATTTGTGCAATTTGCATAGTAATACTTCGGGTTTTTGTGGAGGTTACACTTTGTCGAGTGAATTTAAATTTGGTTTTGTATATGCGCAAATAGATTAGAAATATTAAGTATAAATGCACAAATAAACACCCAATCTACAAATCGATAATTATCTCTATATCCCCACAAAGATATATATATCTGTAATAGCCTACCCTCCAAAACCACGAAGCCCAACCCAACCGATGAGTGGGTCCACTTACACATACCACACCACTTACACTTTTATTCTCACTTCGTGTAAATAGGGTTAACCGGGAAATGATATGGTTGGAATGACAATGTTAACAGCTTAATAGGAAGAACAGATCTTGGGCACTCAGATAGAAGTTGGCAACTATGTATTATCTCTTCTCAAACCCAACTGGGTTGAGCCGCCGCCGCCAATGCCGCCAAGTTGCCAAGCCTATGTTCTTGAGTAGGGTACTCTATTTTTATATTACAGTTTCACCAACCATTCTTTCCTTCTACGCTACTGCTAGCTACGACAAAGAGAAATGGACCTGTTACAAGGCCCAGTCCGGCCCAACGTACTTAGCATTCGGTTTGACAAATCTTGTTGTTTGCCTTGGCGCCACCTCCTGATCCTCCTGGTCAGCATCCAGCATGATCTGCTCCTCAGCCTCCACCCTTGCTGCATCATCGGTCTTAGTAACATCAGAGCCTCCAGGATCGCTGGCAATCCCCCTCCCTTGGAATTTGGCTTGCCCCCAAGCCAAGGCAGCAGGAAAACAAGAACGCAAGTCCTCCAAGTCCTCCCAAGTCACATCCTCCGCTGCAGAATTAGTCCAATGAATAAGAACTTGTGGAATAGTTGAGTTACCCTTTTTGATAAGACGAGTATCCAATAACTAGGAGGGAATCTGGAAAACACTGTCAGCAGCAGGCAGAGTAGTCTGTATAGTGCCCTTAAACCCCTTAGCGTCCTTCAATTGAGAGACATGGAAAACTGGGTGTATAGCACTTGTAGCAGGTTTGCTCGAGTGATTTGCTCGAGTGGCAATAGAGGTTTGGATGTAAGGCTGCAGTTTAAGATAAACCCAGTCACCAATAGCAAAATCCCGGAAATTGCGTTTCTTGTTAGCCATATGCTTCATTTGTTGTTGTGCACGATTGAGTTGTTGCTGGACCAGTGACTGCATAAGATTTCTTTCCTTGAGCCATTGTGCAAGATCAGGAATGGCACAATCTTCAGCACATATACCAAAATGGCTGGGAGCATAGCCATATAGTACTTCAAAAGGAGTAGAATGTAAGGAGGAGTGATAGGATGTGTTATACCAACACTCCGCTAAGTGCAACCAGGTGACCCATTTGGAAGGGGTGGCATGAACAAAACATCTGAGATACATTTCTAGGCACTGGTTGACTCGTTCGGTTTGGCCATCCGTTTGTGGGTGATAGGCCGAACTGAGGTGAAGTTTTGTTCCTGACCACTGGAATAACTGCTCCCAAAGCTGGCTAGTGAAGATTCTGCACGGTCAGAAACAATAATCTGAGGAAGACCATGTAACTTAAAAATGTGAACCATGAACACCTTAGCTACATCAATTGCAGTGAATGGGTGAGCCAAAGGAATGAAATGACTATACTTGGAAAATCTATCCACCACGACAAGAATGCAGTTATAAGAGTTCGAGCGAGGCAAACCTTCTATGAAATCAAGGGAAATGGCTTGCCAAGCTCCTGCTGGCACAGGTAGTGGTTGAAGCAGCCCTGGATACTTAGCCCTATCCGGTTTAGCTTGCAAACAAATTTGGCACTGCTGGACATATTGCTTGACTTGAGATTTCATGCCCTGCCAAGCAAACAGATGTTTCAATTTGGCATAAGTAACAGGGAACCCTGAATGACCTCCAATTGGGCTAGCATGCAACTCTTGAATCAATTTGGATTGTAAAATAGGGTTATTACCAACCCAGATTCTGCCCTTATATTTGATCACGCCGGAATGCAGAGTATACCCAGGTTTAGCTGCAGAGTTTAGAGTCAATGCAGTTAACAAGTCAGAAGAATGGGCATCATGTTGATAGCCCTGAACTACCTCCTAGAGCCAGAGTGGAGTGCAACTAGAGATAGCAGACAGTTCAGAATCACCTTGAAATTTCCTTGACAGTGCATCAGCGGCAGCATTAGTTGTACCCTTTCGATAGCAGATTTTGTAAGAAAGACCAAGTAGTTTAGTAAACGCCTTATGCTGCCAAGGTGTATGGATACGCTGATCAGACAAATGAATCAAGCTATGATGGTCAGTTAGAATGGTGAACTCGCCCATCTGGAGGTAGGAACGCCAGTGATCAATTGCTGTTAAAATAGCCATGCATTCTTTTTCGTATGTGGAAAGTCCTTTGGTTCTAGGCCCTAAAGCCTTGCTGATGTATGCTAAGGGATGACCATTCTAAGATAATACTGCTCCAATGCCTGCTTTAGATGCATCTGTTTCCACTGTAAAAGGTTTACTGAAGTCAGGCAATGCCAACACTGGGGCTGAAACTAATGCCTGCTTGAGGTGCTGAAAAGCCAGATCAGTTGCATCAGACCAGACAAAAGGTACTCCCTTCCTTAATAGTTGGGTTAGAGGTTTACTGATAACTCCAAAGTTTCTAACAAATTTCCTATAGTAACCAGCTAACCCAAGGAAACCCCTCAATTTCTTCACAGATGTAGGAACAGGCCAGTCAACTACTTCCTTAATTTTGCCAGGATCTGTAGATACACCTGCTGCACTGATGATGTGACCAAGATATGTAAGCTGTTGTTGAGCAAAGGAGCATTTGGACAATTTAACCTGCCATTGATGTTTCTGCAGAAGGGATAAAACTTGTTGCAAATGGTCCAAATGTGAGGCTAGGTCAGGACTGTAGATGAGAATGTCGTCGAAGAATACCAAGGCAAATTTTCTGAGGACAGTTTTCAATGTTGCATTCATAGCTCCTTGGAAAGTTGCTGGAGCACCAGTGAGTCCAAATGACATAACCTTGTATTCATAATGCCCAGTGTGAGTCTGAAAGGCTGTTTTATGTTCATCCCCTGCCTTCATTCTAATTTGAAGGTAACCAGCCCGTAGGTCAAGTTTTGAAAACCACTTAGCACCCGCTAACTCATCTAATAATTCATCAATAACAGGCATTGGGTATGTACTTTTAACAGTAATAGCATTTAGCTGCCTATAATCAATCACCAATCTCCAGGATCCATCTTTTTTCCTGACCAGAAGAGCAGGAGAAGCAAAGGCACTGTGGCTTGGTTGTATAACTCCAGATTCAAGCATTTTAGAAATTTGGGATTCGATTTCATCTTTAAGGGCTGGATTGAATCTATATGGTCTCAAATTAACTGGTTTAGAACCAGGAAGCAAGGGAATGCTGTGGTCACACACTCTTTGTGGAGGTAACCCTTTTGGTTCAGCAAATACAGACTGAAATTGTTGAAGTATTGGCTGGACTACTTCAGGTATGCAACTGGAATCAGTGTGCAGAGTAGAATATAATTGAATCATGCACTGATCAGAACCATTCTTAACCATACCATGACACTGTTCCAAGGAAATGAGGGGGCACTGTCCAGTAATTGGAGTAATACCATGGAATTTAACAGTGTGTCCAGCAATCTGAAGTTCTAACCATTTATCCACCCAATCAACCTTCATGGGACTGAACTATTCAAGCCAGTCCATTCCCAGGATGATATCATAGCTTCCTAGTGGCAGAAGCTTAAAAGTACTTTTGAAATCATACCCTTGCATCCACCAGTTACAATCGACCAGCTCATGAGTACACTGCATGATACTACCATCTGCCACTCTAACATTAACTGAACTAGGAAGAGGAGTGAGGCCTGCCAGTTTCTGACCAATTTGCTGATCAATGAATGAGTGGGTGCTACCGGAGTCAACTAACATAAGCACCTCAGTACCCTGTACCCAACCTCTTAGCCGAATGGATTTAGAGGAATCAGTACCCCACAATGCCTGTTGGGAAATGGCCATCAGTTGGTTCTCTACTTGGTCATCAGTAAATTCAGTAGTACCAGGTTGATCAGACTCCAAATCAGAATGCAAGGCTTCCAATAATTCCTGAACAACATTTAACTGCACTGAAGTAGCACACTTATGATCACGTCCCCATCGTTCTCCACGAACAAAACAAAGGCCCTTAGACCTTCTATATGCCTTAAGAGACGCCAATCGATCATCTTTGGTCTTATCTGCTTCTGAAAACTTCCTTTCTGTTGGACTGCTAGGAGTTAAACCTTTGCTGTTAGGAATCACAGATGAGTAGGTGGTAGTTCTTGGTGCTGCAGGTTTGATATAAACCTGATTGTTCCCACCTTTGCCACTAACAGATTTCATCCCTTCCAAAACCTCCTCCTGCAACAGAGCTATTGAGCATGCAGTATCGAGATCCTGTGGCCTATGTACCATTACTACCCCCCTAATATCATCTCTAAGCCCTTCAACAAATTTTTGAACAAAGTAGACTGGAGTTAAAGCACTGTCATATGCCATGAGCTGATGCATTAGACTATCAAATTGCTCCACATACTCTGCTACTGAGCTATTTTGCTGTGTATGGAACCACTGTCTAATGAGAGCTTCCTGCCGATCTCTAGTAAATCTAGCACACACCAATTCACAAAGAGTTGGCCAAGTGATACCAGCAATCTGAGAACGGATGGATTGCAACCAGAATGCCGCATTTCCACAGAAATTCAAGGTCGCTACCTTAACCCAGTGCATCGGCAAAATGCCATAAACATCAAAGTACTGTTCACAGTTGCTCTTCCACATTTGCGGGTTGTTTCCATCGAATTTTGGACAGGTCATAGGGGGAAGATTAGCACTCAAATCTACGGGTGCAGTGGCTGAACTAGAGGACGGCGACTCAAGGTTAGAGCGATTCAAAGTGAAGAGAGACGGATCGCGCTTACCAGCTAGCCATGACGATTCCTGCCCTGTGGGTTCCTGAGGGTTCTCCTGCTTAAAGATTGTGCCCTCAATGTGAGTGACCTTGTCGCTGAGGGTCTGTACGGATGCGCCTAGCTCCTCCACCTTCTTCTCCACCAAGGGAATTCGCACTTCGAACACCTTCTTGAGATCCGAGAAATCCTTCCTCGCCCTCTCCTTTGCCTCCTCCCTTTTCTTCTCAGCCACCTCCCTCTTCCTTTCATTCTCCTCCATAGTTCGTAACAACAGATCCAATTTGCTCTCCGAAGCCATGACTTCAAGAGGTGGTGGACGAATCTGTACTAGAATCAATCACTCCACTCTCCGAATCCGGCTCAACCAGGGAAAGGCAAGTTTCCTTTTCACGGAATTCAACCCTAGGGAAGATTCCAATCCTTTCCTGGGATTATGCGAACCAAATCAAGAGGGTTTTTGGGAGCGGAAGGCTCTGATACCAGATTGTTAGCAGCTTAATAGGAAGAACAGATCACACGCACTCAGATAGAAGTTGGCAACTATGTATTATCTCTTCTCAAACCCAACTGGGTTGAGCCGCCACCGCCAACGCCGCCAAGTTGCCAAGCCTGTGTTCTTGAGTAGGGTACTCTATTTTTATATTACAGTTTCACCAACCATTCTTTCCTTCTACGCTACTGCCAGCTACGACAAAGAGAAATGGACCTATTACAAGGCCCAGTACGGCCCAACGTACTTAGCATTTGGTTTGACAAGTCTTGTTGTTTGCCTTGGCGCCACCTCCTGATCCTCCTGGTCAGCATCCGGCACGATCAGCTCCTCAGCCTCCACCCTTGCTGCATCATCGGTCTTAGTAACATCAGAGCCTCCAGGATCGCTGACAGACAAGCCCTTATAAATTGGTTCCACTCTTAGCAAAGTGGTACTAACATGCACATAGCTAGGATGTTACACACCCTACCTCAAAGGACAATTTACCCATATAGCCACACAGGTATATAGGCAAATGTCTAGCAACACCCCCCCTCTTAGGGCACGTCCGCACGTCCAGTGCCGACGCCATATGCCATGTCATGTGCCTCACACAGAGCCCACATGCATCATGCGCCGGCATATCCTAATTGGACCAGAATGTCATGCACCCCCTCTCAAAGGACTCGACGTCCCCGTCGGCCCAACTTACCCATACGTCGAGTCCAACTTACCCATATAGCCACAGGCATATAGGTAAATGTCTACGAACACGCCTCCTCTTAGCGCACGTCCATACGTCCAGTGCCGACACCATATGCCTCACACACATTGGGCCAGGAAATCACCCCCTCCCCCTCTCAAAGGACCCGACATCTCCGTCGGCCCAACTTACCTATATAGACACATGCATATAGGCAAATGTCCAGGAACACGCCCCTTCTTAGGGCACATCTAGTGCCGATGCCATATGCCATGCCATATGCCTCACATAGAGCCCACATGCACCACGCGTCATATTCCCGCATACTGACCCGTACGTGCAACCGCGAAAGTCGGCTTTGATACCATTTGTAACAGCCTACCCTCCAAAACCGCGTAGCCCAACCCAACCGACGGGTGAGCCCACTTACATAAACCACCCCACTTACACTTTCATCATCACTTTCTGTAAAAGGGAGTGATATGGTTGGAGGGACAAGCCCTTATAAGTTGGTTCCACTCTTGCTAAACTAGGAATGTGGTTCTAAACATGCACACAACTCTCATGGGCCACACAAGTCACATCTTAATTGGGCCAGAAGGTCATATATGTACTGGAAGGGGGAACATCACGTACGTTTTTTACATCTCAAGAAGTAGCATATATAGAATTTGTTGTTTAAAACTGGAATGAGTACCTTTGAACATCGATAGATGTAAGAAACCCATGATTTTGTTACAGCAAACATAAGGTTGAATCTTGGCTAATGCAAATTTAATAAGGACTTCACATATAATAAGGCATAAAAAAACTTGTACATGAGTAGCGTGGAAGTTTTGGATCACCAAATCAATTTTTCTATACTAATTTGATACTAGTGGTGGTGTCCGAGTCTGCTTTCAACACCACAAAATGGCATGTGAGCCTATAAGCATAAGGTTCTCACAACATCTTAATAGCCCAGAAATACTAATTCTAGAAATGATAAAGGTTATATGAAAAACCTTCAAATTGCGTACCACCCACAGATGAATTGTAAGTGTCCAATCCTGTATTATCCGATTGTATGGCTTGTGAAAATAGATAAAGTGGATAAAAAAGGTAATCTAGCAGCCTTTGGAGATGGCATTATATGTCTAATCGACTAACTATGCTATAAACTTATAATTTTTGTTTTTTCTTTTATATCATATATATCCATTGCAAGCATAGGCCTTTAGCAAGTAATTGAAATGGTTGAATGGTTCATACAATTCAATCATTTCGTTGTCTAATTTTATTTTTTAAAAAATATGAAAATTGTACTATTTTTTTTATAAATTGCACTATTTTCAACAAAGTACAAAAATTTTACAAATCATAGCCCAATGCTATATACGTTGCAAGTTATAAATTTAAAGAAAGGTTGAAATGGCTACATGGTTCATGCAACTCAGTCATTCTCTTATCTGAAGGTAACTATATAACTGTACATAATATTATACTCCTTTCTTCCCAAATTGATCATCATATATGTTTATGCACTAAGACCAAGGATAATTTAAATCACATCAATCAAGAAACCATGCACATATTCTCCCACAATATATGCATTGATTAAAATGCCATGCCAATTACACCTTAGCATATACACGTTCTCCCATGCTACATTAATTGTATTATGATGAAATCCATGTCCATATGGTTATATGATGATCAATTTGAGAAATTTTAAATTCTATTATATGATGATCAATTTGGGAATGAGGGAGTAGGAGAAATACAGATGTATGTATATAAACAACACACAACTTGTTTTGAAAAAAAATAAAGGTGCCTATAATTAATCAGAGCGCCACATCTGACTTCAGGATGCATTTGTGGGAGGAATCGACACGACTGCTGTAACTGTCACTTGGATTATGTCCGAGCTTATGAGGAACCCAAGGGTA